GGGGTCTTGGGGCCGTTTGACGATGAAACAGAGGTATACGACGACAGAGACCCGGTATGAGAGCTGATTGACGAGGCAATGGACCCAACTCGGGGCGACGAGGTGTTGGAAGAGTCTGCCTGGTACGGCAGCGGCGGAAGAGACGGCAATCTGTCGCTGCTCATAAACGATGAGCGGGAAGCGGCGTGAAAGCCCAGGTAGGGGAGGTCAGAAGGCCCTCGGGTCTGCACTTGGCTGTGTGGCAAATCCAGCTTTCCGGTGTTGGCCTTGTAAGAGCGGAACGGTGAAGCAGACGAGAGCAGGGTCTCTCGTCGGGAGATGAGCAAAGGAAGAAATCAAAGCGATGGAATTCGACGCTGGCCACTCAAAGAACGCTCGCAATGAAAGAGTCCAAAGCCAATCGGAAAGGACAAGACGCAATTGAGGGCGGGGGAACCGAGGAGGGCTCCAGAGGTCCGACAAGGCGGCAGAATCTAGCGGTGATCAAACGCTCGACAACAAACGGTGAGAAAGACGAGGCGAAAACTTTTTTTCCCCTTTCCGGCACAGTAAGAGATACTCGTAAAAGAAGAGTCTTTAGTCGTAACAGGGCATCAAAAAATTCAGTCGTTTCGTCTCAATCGTAACATCCAAGGCGATGTCTCCAAGTCGGTGCAGCCGGCTGGCTTTCCAAGGTGCCTGGGGCAGTATCAAACGTCGGCGATGAGGGCGGTGCAACAGGCCACAAAAGGGTCCAGGCAAATGGAAGACTCCGGGTCGAAGTGAGAGGGCCGGAGCCGCGATTGAGGGAGGAGGCTCGGCTTGGAGGGCAGGAGGAAGCTCTCGGGATGGGCCACAGCTGCGTGCAAACAACTGCAGACGTTTGTTCGCTTCCTTGTCAGGTCACCCACTACTGCAATGCAGAGCGATTAGCTGCCGGATACGAGAGGCAGAGGGCGAGGCGGGGGAGGTGAGGCAATGGAAGAAGTAACAAAAAGGAAAACAGGAAGACGGCCGAGGGAGTCGAGGCGGAAGGGGGGAGAAGATGTATGTAGACGAGACTGGCAGATGCGGCTGGCGATGTCTCGTCCTCTTTTTTCCTTGTGTTTTTTTCTTCCCCGACCTCTTCGCTCTCTTTCAGCCGGCCGACGGTGCCAGTGGGGAATAAGACGGCGCCAGCGAGACAAGGCACAAGCAGCGAACAAACCAGAACAAAAGACAAAGGCTCAACAACACGTCAATGGAAGTCACTCACCTTGGTCCTGGCCTCTCGGTCTCGGAAGCTGAACCGCAAGGGAAGAAAGGAAGAGAAAATGAGGAGGTCGGTGGAGTCGTGAGGACAAGAAGGAGAAGAAGAGCAGGAAGCAAAAAGATTGTCGCCAGGCCAGGCCGGGGACGGTTTTGTTTTTGGCGGTTGAGGGGAGGCAGGCCAACGGGGCCTGGGACGGGCCAGGGAACAAGCGGTACGAGGACGTCCAGTCCGTGGAGCGAGGGCTGGTATAGAGGCAGAGGCAGAGCGAGGTAGAGGTACTTGGCTCCATTAGCAGCAAAGCGGTAGCGGCAGCGCCCAGGTTCAGGCAGGTCCAGAGTGGGCAAGCACAAGCTCGGGGTGGGGAACTGGAGCGCTGGCCAGTTGGTTACAGTGGAGGGGCCGGTGCTCTCCTCATCCAATGCTCTGGGCTGGGCTGGGCTCCAGCGCTGGCGGGCACGAAGTTCACGAGTACACGAGAGGGACGGTCCCGGGACAGTGCTGCACACAGTCGCCATTGCGCACCCAGGTACCGCGCTCCCACCGCCGGCCGGCATATGTACCTTGCCTTGCCTTGCCTTGCCTCTCCTTGCCCTGCCCGGGCGGTCTTGACTTCAGGTGCAAGGTTGCCCCCTTGGGCGCGTACGAGCCAGCGGTACCAGGTCGGTTGTAGAGCAGGGGTCACGGCCAAGCAGCACGACCCTTCGCGGTTAGGCCAGATTGTGGGCGGATTGGCGACTCGGCCTGGTGTGGGCTCGCAGCTGGTGCAGGGTTCCATGGTACTGGCCGGCGTGGCGTTGCGCTGTAGCGGTACCCGGGCCAGGCCATGCACTGAGGCCCTGTGCCGCAACCCAGCAGCCGTCGCTGCGTGCCAGGACCGCCACCTCCCCAGCCGCCCGCCGCTCGCCGGTACCGGTACCTGCGGCCAGGTACTGCACCTAAGGTACCTCCCGTCGCTGCATCTTCCAGCTTCCAGCTTCCATTCATTCAAGTTGCCATGACGGTGCTGTGCTGTGCCGCGCTGTGCTTGGTAACCTGCCCGTAGACGCTGGGCCCTGGGCTTCCAACCCCGGACCTTTACCAGGAGCTGGAGGGCACTCGGCGCTGGAACTGCCCGCTGTGGCTTCCATCCATTCGATGAGGTGCAGTCGGGGCCGTTATCGCGCTGCGGCACAAACGCACTGGCGGTGGCCTGCGGTAGTACTCATACCTGCGCCGAGGCAGCGGCAGGTACATGGCGCCGCGCACACGCCCGCGAGGGCTCGTACAGGGTACTTGTGCCGTCCTAAGATAGCGCAGGGCCGCTCGTCTTCTTAACAGCCCCGACTCAGCTCGGAGCCCCTCTTCTCGTCTTCCCCAACCTCTCCCGTCTCTGTCTGTCCCCTCCTCTCGCCCGTCCATCGCCGCCCTCGTCGTCTGTCTCTGCTTGCTGGCTAGGGGCGATATCCCGCCATCCTTCGCCCGTAGAGGCCCAAACGCTGCAGCAATCGACGAACCTTCTTCCTGCCAGCAGCTGCAGGTCTCTTCCCGCCACGGCGCCGGCTCCACAGTTGGGCGCGCACCGCTTGCAGGCCTGCAGGCTTGCAGACAGCTGTCTCCCGAATGGTGCGAGGCAGTTCCGCAGCAGAGGGAAAACGGACGGTACTGTACTCGTACTTGCTACGCTACTTGGCGCGAGTCCAAGCACGCACACGCACAAGTTCTGCGATTTGGGGTGGAGCTGGGCGTCCAACGCAGGGCCTGGTCGCGACAAGGATCAGAGGCACAAGGGGGTGTGCCAGCGCGGCGTGGGTGGATCAGCGTTGCACCAGGATTCGATGGGGCCAAGGTGAAGTGGTGATGGCCGATGGTTGATGGTCGTTAGCAGACAAGTCGCGGCCCACCCATGACTTGTCGACAGGGGACGGACGGACAACGGGCAGACGGGGCTTCCGGCCACAAATCCCAGAGTGCTGACGGCGCTTGCTTGGCCCTTCGAAAGAGCTATGTGGCTTCCTTTGCCTTTGACCATGCCCTTCTCGATGACTCTCGTCCACCGCTTTCTCGCGTTCCCTCCATCTGTCTCTGGTCTCTGATGCGCGCTGTCTCTGACCCCTTTTTCGGGCATTGGGCATTGAGCATGGCCTAACCCTTCTTACACGGATACCAAGTGCGGTTACGGACCAAGTTCTGATGACAGGTTCGATAGTATTACTACTATTACAAGGTACTACTACTGCCATCGGTCTGAGAGCAAGCTCACTCTGCAGCGGATACGGAACGAGGTGCTACAGCACTTGTACATGCGCGTACATGGGACCAGGGTCGATACGATTAGACAATCGCATCAGAGATCTTGCCTAGATAAGACGAATCTGACTTGTTGGGGGGCCGGGCAATGGATGGTGCTAAGCACCCTGCGATGACTTTAGCGAGAGAGCGCAGGCTCATACCTGCATACTCGTACATACATGTACACTGCTTGCACTCGACAGTCTTTGGGGGGGGACACAAAGCGCTGCTCTTGTGGGAAGTGTCTGGAGGGGGGTCAATATCCGCGAGCTTCCCGTCCCTGCCTTGGCACCAGGGAGGAAGAAATCCTGGTGGCATGGTGGCAAGCAACATGATCAGCGCATCTACCAGACCGTCTGTCTGGTCTGGCAAGTCTGGCTCGACGGATCTACATACGGCTCGACAAGAATGAGCATCAGCAGTGCACCGTTTGCATTGTCGGCAACCCAGGGTCGTGTGCGATAGGCCTACCTACCGACACAAGCTCGGTAAGAGCTTCGACTTGATGTTATTGGCTCTCTTTCGTTATTACTGCCAGCTCGGTGCTAGTCTAGGAGTGGCTTAGGCGTCGGCAGACGAAGCATTTTCGAGCGCTTCGGCTGCTCTCTGCCAACGGAACGGCAATGCCAGTGGCTGGGCCACCACCGTCAGCAAACCCGTTTTCCCACACGCCGTCCTTCGAACCGATCCGCCAAGCTGCTCAGCTGCTGCCGAGGCAAGGGCCTTTCCTGCTGCGATACGAGCGGCTTACAGTTGCGGCTTGTGCTGAGTCCTCATCCTGGCATCAATATTGACATCCAGGCGGCTCGATATGACACATCCAACTAGTATTACAGACCACTTACACAACACTCGATGGCGAGGAGACGAAGACTCTTCTTTGAGCTCAGGAAAGATGAGCCAAGTTGATCACCCAGGTACATTTCGTGCGAAATTGTACCAGAGTCTATCTGGTGCGGGCCAGCTCGGAACAGAGCGCGTCGTTGTCGTAGTCGTCGTCCCTGTACCCTTGGACTATATGTTGACTATTTTGACTACAACTACGTACTTTGCACTATCTCTGCCCTTTCGTGGTGGCGCAGACGCCAACTTGGAAGCTTCAAGTCCGTCTCCGCTGATCAACACAGCCATTGGCGAACGAAACTGCATCGGCTTTCCCCTTTTATGCTGAATTCAATGCGCCATAGCTTCCGCGAAACTCTGTTGGAAGCACTAAAAGCCGAGTGGCTCTTCAACAACGTGCTAGGAGAGAAGGGCTGCACCAACATGTGCGAGATATTGCAATTCTTGGTACGCTCCTCTACTCGTATGTTGTTCCTCGGTCTGCCCCTGAAAGTTTGCTGCTCAACTGCCCGCTACAAAGTCGTCTAGTCAACACAATTTTGTGTGCTAATACCTCGCGCTGGCCGTTGTATGTCCATTCATGTTGTCATCAGAAGCCTGTGAAGTCGCAATTACCTACCGCACTAGCTGAGTTTCGGCTACGAGTGACATCACATGCCTCTGGCAGGAGAAATTTATACTATGTGCGGGAGAATGGGAAAATAGAGAGGGGGAGAAAAGAAATGCTCAGAATTTGAGCATGACTACGAGCACTAACTGGGTAGCCTTGTGGGTGAGAGGGCGACCATTCGGCTCGGCTTGCTAGGGCGCACAGCCTCTGCAGGTACTTTGTCTAGTCGGCTGCAGAGGGTGGAGTGCTGCAGTCCGAGATGGACGAAGACGCCGGAGAGGACCCCGGCGAGTTTGCACTGCAAAGGTATATCTGCCCCTTGGCGTGAGAGGCCAAGTGTCACTGCTATCGAAGTGAAAACTGGTGAGGTCCTCCAAGCCGTTGAAAGCAGAAGCACTGCACTTCAGAGTACCTGAACAGGACATAGGGTGGTAGGTACACCTGCTGACCTCGTACCACTTCGAGCCGCATTCCGCACAGGACGGGATACCGATGCAGTCTAGAGTATCGATAAGGGTCGACGGAATGCAAGGCGGAACACCCGGCTTCCGATCGACTTGCAGTGGTCTGGGGGAAGGTACGAACTACACGGAGCACGGCATGCTTCAGCCTCAGGAAAGTCCGGCCTGCGACTTCCCCTTGCTAAGGCAAGAACAGTTGGCGATTCCAACTTCAGCTTTTCAATCTCAACTTCGATTCTCAGAAGCCCAACTGGCCTCATCAACTCACTCCCTGCCTCAACACGGCTCGTTCGGCCTCTTGGACAAACTGCCAGGATCATCCAGGGTAGACAAAGTGCGAACAACAATCGCGATGAACGAACTGCTGCCGAAAATAGAAACCGGGCTACGGAGTATTACCCGTACAGTACATACACGAGACAGACACCTCAAGCTCTTGTCGATTTAGGCGATCTGCCATGGCATGGTGCCAGCGTGCGCCCAGAGCCGCCTTGAGATGCAAGATGCACGGATGACGGGGAGCGACGCACCCTCGCATCAGGAACAGAGTTCCACGATGCATCCATTGTGCAGGTCGAGGCGCGCACGGCAACGCTTCCAGGATCCTGCGGGCCGGGCTTCTCCATGGGCTCGCCGCAAGCCCGAGTCCGCCTCTGCAAGGCATTCCTGCACATTGGCTTCGACATGAGAGCCGCAGCCATGGTGCTTCTTAGCCCAGGCCGTCTTTCCAGCGACTCCAGCTAGCCTCCGACCGTCGACCTGCAGAAATGCCGTCGACTGCCAGCCATTGGCTCTGGTCTGAGCCGAGCTTCGAGTCGCATCATGGCGTGCGCGATAATTCGCCCAGAGATGAAGTAAGTCCTGCAGCCAATAGCACCAGCTGGTCCTACGGGTAATTATACCTACGAACCCACCCAGTCACCGATACCTGTCCGCGAATGCTGATAATAAAGTGCCACCCAAGACAAGCATCTCTCTCTTGAAGTCCCGCATATGCCTACAAGTACATGTATATGCAGCCTTTACCGAGACAAGTCTGTGCTAGACATATGGGAAAAGATGCAAGATACCGGACGGAACCTCAGCCGTTCGTACCTCCGTCCGCAATGGCCTCACATGTTGTCCTCGATATGGTAGCTTAGGATTCGGTCAAATCTGTCTCAACGGAGCATCTACTGGGCAGCGTTTCGTGCTCGGCAACGCATTTCTCCACCAACTCATTAGGTATACATATGAGTACAAGCAAGCACGATAATCTTCAGGGCCTGTTTTGGCAGCCACCATCCTTCCTCCACGAAATCAGACTGACCATCCTATTCGTCGGAGAAGTTGGCCCATGGCGGCTCTTATCGTTTGTTGCACAAGGAACTCCGTCGACATCCCCTCGTCGACATCCCCCTTTATCTTGCCTAAAAGACGTCCTTCGGGAAGGCGAGTAGTACAACAATTGAAATCTTGCACCTTACATCTACTGGTGCAACGAAGCAACAATCGCAGCGATTCAACGTTCAGTTTGTGACCTCATCTAGCCCTCCAGCTTGGTGACCCCACAGCCGGAGGACAACCCAGCCAGGCGGGCGTCTTGCGATCACCGAGGGCCTGGCAGATGTGGAGAGAGAGGGTGCAATGCAAGCGCCAGCGCAAGATGGCAAGGCCCTCCCCGCTAACCACTGCGATCCCGGAGACGCTCCATTGCGAATTGCAACCGCTCCCGCGGAGCAGGACCAAGGCTGCCCGCCGAGATGCGATGCGATTTTCACCAACGCTCTTGCAACCCGGTTGTCGCCCCGTCCGGCGGTAGCCGTGCGAGCGTTTCCTCTCTATTCACCACGGCCAACTCTGATCTGATATCCGTGACATGCCGGTTCTGGGATGTGGTGCCACTGCAGAAGAAGAGGTGGGGTGCTGCCGACCGAATGCAAGATTCCGTCGGGGACTAAAGCGCCGCTCATCTTGCCTGATGCACGATTGCCACGGCGTGTGCAAGAATCCATACCTGCATAACCCGCATGTCTTTGACAACAAGTATCTTGCACATATCTCGCATGAAAACATTATGCACACCGCAGGCAAAGCAAACAAACCACAGACCTGTCGACGACGGTGTTCGCCACCAACGCCTCCGAGGATGGATGCTTCACGGCTCAGTTACCGGCGCGATTGCCCGCAATCAAGGCATCCATCCATCAGGCTGTTCAGAAGCCCTGCGCAGTACCTCACATGGACCTCCGTCAAGCGTACATGCAATGTCGGCTCAGGGATCATGCCTCGACATTCGCTCCTATCCACCAGATGCTACGACTAGGAAGGGCTAGCTGCTAATGTCGCGGGCTTGGGGGTCTGGGTTTTCCTTTTGACTTCTCTTCTCTGGTCAGAAGATGCTTCAACAGGGCGCCTACCACTACACCTCGACGGCAATTCGTGAGAATGCCTGATGGCCATTGCCTTCTTCACCTTCTCCGCCAATACCGGGTGCCTACCATGGGAGCCATTGATAACACCAGCAGAAGTCTTTCCACGAGGCTGCTACTCTGCAGGTACTATGATTTCCCACGCCTGTTCATGTGGTACCTACCTGAGGTTCAAGAGTATGTGCAACCATTTCACTCGCACTGTGCCCAGGTCACTCATGCCGTACCGGTACTTCTCCCCAGCCATCTATTATCGAAGCATGGCCTGAGCTTTTAGGGGAGCGAACGCGAAGGGAGGGGTGATGGGGCGGGGGGGGTATGCGTTGGCAAGCTTTCTCCCGCTCTCTTGGATCTGCTCTCGTCCTTTCTTCTTCTGCTCCCTTCCGTGGTCAAGGAGATATCGGGTTTCGACGCAACAGGTGACTAGCACGACTACGAGGTATGAGAATGGGTCTGACCCAGGCCCGAGGGCGTTAGAGATGCTTCCTAATTCGAAGCTCCATCATGACCGGCTTTCGTATCTCACCAGAAAAAACCTTGCAGGAGCGGGGATAAAAAACACACCCAGCCAACTAGAGCAGTTGTGGTGTCTTGCATCTGGGGAGGCTTGACAGCTGGCCGTTCCCCACTGGCTGTATCATCTCGCCAGCACGTTTCAACAAAGGACACATGGCCAGCCACACAACCAACTCGCTCTCGGGAGTTAGTATATTTTTGGCCATGAACTTGGACCTTTCTTGTCTTACTTCGGAGCGACCATCACGCAGCAATTGAGGAAACCAATGAGGACTTCGTCATCACGGTGGAGGCGGTTGGATGTTTCCTTTCCTTTCACGTGTGCCAAATCAAAGGAACGGCCTCCTCCGGCGGTCGGGACTGTTAGACTGTACCACGAATTAATTGAGCATGCCATCGCCTTCCTTGCTCTGATCAGACTTAGTGCCTGACCGGGGGGAGGGAATTGCCACCCCAGCTGGACGAGAAAGCAGGGCTTTGGCAACAATATTGGAACAGCACGTTGTGCAACTCCAGATACTCACATCCATGGCGACCGCTCGTACGCTCGTACGCGCTTAATTCCAGTCCGTGTACGAAAGGGAAGGGGTCATGACGTCTCATCAAGCCTGCATTGTTTGGAAAGTTGAGATCAAACGAGGGCACCTCTTCCACCTGCTGCGGTTCCGAAGTACTCTTGAGTGCTTTGTCCTCGGTCCCTCCTCGCCAAGATCTCCGGATGGGCGCTTTGCTCTGCCAAGTAGGCCTACTGGCTCGTTCCTGTATCTGTATGTATGTACATGCTTCGGATACACTACACAATGTGGGCGCTGGCTGAGACTCATTATGCACGACATGCTGCAGTACTGAGGTGCGGGCTGATCTGGCATATTGCCAAACCGAGAGCCTTGACCAAAGCATCTCATTCACAGCCCTGCTTTGATGCAGGCCGTTGGCGAAGTCTTCAGACGGGGCGACCCCGTGTACGAAGTACAGCGTACGTTAAGTTTTGATCAGAAGATTTGTTAGCCTTCGAAAAGGTACCCCACGAGACGAGCGTGCGAACACATCTCCCGACGCAGGGATAGACGAAATTCGCTGTGGTACTAAACATGCAATGCTTTCAGATTAGGCGCGCTTGTATGCGAAGACTTCTGTACTCGCGGCACTGCGCACCCGCTATACTCTATGCTTGTCTGCTTTTTCATGAGCAACGCTCCATGTTGACAGAGCGTATTGGGCTGCACGCCTGATCGGAGCTATTCACGCCATGGGCTTCGCCTCCGCTCTGGCCTCAGATTTGAACAGCTTGATCCATCCTCCTTTGACTGGATCTCTGGCGATGACGTCTGCTTGATCCAAACCATCAACACTACCGTATCGGAAGCGCTCGCACAGATATGAGTACAAACAGCCGTCCACAAGAAACTGCACAGAGCATTGTCACACCGAGCCTACACACCACGCGGGTTGGTCGTACGTTGCCTAACATCTCGACGATGTGAAGCCCCCGGAGCGTCGTCAATCCATTTCAGTGTCTTACAAGAGCCCCGGCAAGATTCGAAGCCCGTGTCACGGTTCAGGCCTCAGAGTCACGCCCTTTTGCGCCACAAATGCTGCCCTCCCCAATCGGATCATCAAGCCGCTCTCCTTGTCATAAAGGATGAACGAATCAACGTTTCACCAGCTCACCTAGACAGTTCAACGGTGCTTACCAAGTGTAGCTCGATGGAAACTTTGCAATGGCTGAGGCCGAACGCTCCCTCGCTTGTGCCGTCAACCCTAACTCGAGGTTGAGATGGCGGCAGAGTCCCTGCAGCCTTGCTTCTAGCTTGAAGCTTTGTTCAGGATGATAGTACAACCCAAGCCAGAGGAAGAGGGGGAGGGGTGGCAATGCTAGCTTTGCAGCACTTGCATGATGCACAGCGGCTATGTATGTCTAACACATGGCCAATCACTCTGTTTGCTGTGGATACCTGGAAGAGACATGGGGTCCCCTCCTGAGTGGTTTCATGACGGAGGCCATTTCCAGCCCTCGAATTTTTGATTCTTTTTTACTTTTTCAACCGCCCCGGAGTACAAGTTGGGATTGCAGAGTACCGTACGACTACCAGGCACGGGTACAGCTTGGCAAGAGGCAGACCGGTCTGTCTTCGGGGGCCCGTTTGCTCTCAATGATTTGACATACACACCCGCTCTCCCTTGGCGTCCCTGGAAGTCAAAGATGGACTCTATCCGACATGGCTGTATCTACTCCGTACATATACGTACGCATCAAGGTGCTTCGTACCAAGGGCCGTGGCTGAAGTTCTCTCCATCTCCCCACCGTGTTACCGGTGTCAGTTTCGGTGGAGGATGTCGCTCTCATTTGCTCGATCCTACATTAGCCTTCCCGTCTCCTTTGGCGGCCGGATGCGAGCTGGTACTTCCGTCAGCCAGCAACTGAGTAGGGTACCGACTCCGGAGCAGCTTGGGCGGTGCTCCCCGCCATGCACAGTTTTGCCGCATGGCTACCTACTCCAAACCTACTCACGCCGAGCACGTCCTGGACTGAACTCACAATACTACGGCTTTTGCCTTGTTCTACAGTACTGCCACTGATAGTACGAAATATGGCCAACTCGCCGCAAGGCTCGACTGAACCCTGTGAGGTTCTAGTGCACGAATGTGCAGACATTGCCATGGCTCTGGACGGTGGCCCAGAGGTCTATTGTGCTGAGGTTTCACACAATGCTGCTTCCAAGGACCGGTACTTTGTACTCCGGACACCAAGACCCTAGCTCAATCTGCGAGGA